TCATGACACAGTTGAGGTTTAAATATATGCAAGTCATCTTCGTTAGAAAAACTGCCAGAGTACACTCCTACTTTACTCTACAAGAAATAAAAAAATAATAATAATAATCTGAAGGACGGTGTCTGACTCTGCTTTTCCTGCAAAACTGCAGAGAGACGGCCGCATGATTTCTAGAGTTGTAAAAAAAAAATGCTTGTGCAGAAATTTGCTTTCAAACCAGACAGCAAAAGAGATGGTGGACGGAATAAAAAGTAAATGACAGAAATGTAGGACAAGGACATTAATAAAAATGAAAGACACATTATGAGAAGGAGGATGAGTAAAACTGAGCAGATGATTGCAATCAATAAACATTTCTGTAAATGTTTCATGACAATGTGAGTTATGAAACAACTGAAAAGTGCCGTCAGATACTGCTGCAGCACTTCAACAAAATGGTTCATCTGCTATGAAAACAATCACTTCCTTCTTCGTGAGTCAAGGTCATCTCAATACAGCCATATCTGGTAATAGTACCCATATTGAGCCAGTCATGTTTTCATATCCTTGACAGCCGGTGTTTCCTGCTGTTAGCATGACAACAACTTCAACAGAATGGCAGAGCTCAAACATCAGCCATCAGTCAGCTGAAACAAGTTCCTGACTGCTGACTGGTTTCAGCACCACGGACAGAGACAGCAACAGGGCCGTCATTGTTACAGGAAGACAGGCTCCTGCAAATACTAAATTGTCTCTTTTTAAAGCTTTCAATTTTCTTGCTTGTGTTTTCTACATGTTGTGAATTTCTGTTGTGAAATGAATGACTAGTATGATGGTGTCCAGTTTTAGGGTTAATTCATTTTTTTATTTTATAGAGGTTCTTCAGATGTATAAAAGTGGGTTGGCTACCTGGAATTATGTGTCCATTCCTTGATTACCCTGTAAATTATTCATATTCCTTTAGTCTGTAAGGGTCGTCAGATCAAAAGAATCAAAAGGGTTTGTTATAAGAATTACTCCAAGTTGTGAGGATTGTTTTAACAGGATAAAGTGGTGTTGTATTGCTATGGTGGGTGCCATAATCCTCATGTGCTGTAACTCACTCTTTCTTTGATGTGCTGTCTGTTGGCAGTTTGATTAAATGAATTATTTATAACTGATATATAATCTCAAGCCTACTTTGTGTACAAGTAATATTCATACTGGTTTAAATAAACAATTTGATTTTACATAAATTAAACTAACCACCAAATTTTGACTGTTTAAATACCACAAATGTGAAGTTTTGCTGCTTTTACTTTGAATTATTTTATTATTTTTAATGTATTTATAATAATGTTGATGTTTGGACTGTTGGTTGGACAAGACAAATATAAATATTGTGAAGGTGTCAGTATGGGCACCAGGTCATTGTGATGAGAGCCCCACTTTATCAGCCAATATTAGCCTCTCACAGATGTACTGGTATCGGTGTATATCAGTGGCATAACGTAGTTACAGCGGTCCCCTGTGCACACTATTATGACAGGTCCTAAGGTACGCTAGTGACTTGTTATGTGCCTAAACTAGCTACTGTACCACTGGATAACACCAACACACCCATATTAACCGATGTAGCGCTTTTATTTTGAAAAAGACTGTATGCAAACTGTAAATTTCCTGTGAAAACGGAAGTGTATTTTGAAAGAAGACAATGCATGTAACAGGCTGAAGTTGACACGGCATGCCAGAACGTCAACAACAAATGCACCCAGGGTACCTTGCACCTTGTATCTGGACATGAAAAGTCCAAGACCAAAGGTCGATATGTGACGAGGTCAGAGTGAGAATGTTTTCATATATTCAGGTATTTATGCCCACTTGAGAAAATACAACGAAAAGCGACCAAGGCTGCAGTTGAGCCATACAACAGGGCACCACTGACAGGGGACCATCCAGAACCTGAGCTGCAGAGAGCTAACAGTGACTGATGGTGCCTTTGGTTAAACTGGAAGATAACTGAAATCATTCTGCTACACTGAACTACAAACCAGACAGAGCCCATGTGTGCGTTATGATGCTTGGACGTTTTGCTCCTCACTTGGACAGAGGTGTGCTGAGACTATGGTTAGAACATTGGATAAATATTTTGATGACTGGCTGAGTACATTTTTTTTGGTCATTTAATTTTGCTCCTGCCTCCAATGAATGACTAAGAGGGAAATACTCATCTTACCCGGTGAATTAAGGATTTATTTCAGCCAAACCACAGTTGGTGATTGTTGGAACAGTGGACTAATGAACCACAATGGTTTTACTGAGTTTTATTTTGTTTCTGTCGAGTCTGAAGTCAAGATAAAGATCAACATCTAGATTAACTTTTGTAAATATGTCTTGTGCCCTATGTGCTTGAGTTTATCAGCAGTAACCAGTTTTTGGGCAAACTGAGGCCGGTCGGGAAATCACTGGAGACCTTCTTTAGGATCCCTGCAGTTAAAGTGGAAAGAATAAACCAAGGCCAGCGGGGGTGAGAGGGCAGATGATCACTGAGCGAGTACTTTTGTCACAGAACACTGGCCGATTAAGTAATAGCTTTTGGCTGCGGTGCTGAGACACAGCTTCCAGGGACTATACAATAAGGCATGTTTGTTGTTGATAACACTAGTGTTATCAAATTTATGTTGTTTTTCCGGTGTTCTAGTGGAACAGTAAAGTAAGTTATTACTTTTTGTAAACAGAGCCGTGTTTGAGATGCCTACTTCCATGTGCTGGGCAGGTTTGGGAGTATTTGGGGGTTTAGCGTCAGGAGCTCAGGTGCAATGCATCCTGGTGCATGTAGGGACTGAAATAACAGCTGTGCAAGAAGGAAAACTCAGTACAGCACACAATGAGGAATTTATTGCTTCAATCAACTACAATTACCATCAAACTGATTGTATATCCACGTAAATTGGGGTGAATTTCTCCTTTAACTCTCGAGACATCACACATAAAATCATCTGTATTCCTTTTACGGATGAATACTGCTCTTGAATCAGTCGTGATGCCAGATTAAGGCTTTAAGCAACCTAAAAGTCTACTTGTGTGCCTGTGGGGCAGCACAGTCTTACAGCGGGGAACCTTTGTTGTGTTTCTGGAGAACACTTGATCAGATACAAGTAGTTTTTGTTGAGAGGAGAGGAGGCTTTTTACCCAGTCAAGCGTGTACGACCTGAGATAAGAGGAAAAAAGAGCCAGGGAATGAGTTGTTCTGAAGGGAGGCCATCCAGATACGGTCCTCACTCTGTTGCTCCTGTACAGCCAATCTGCTCAAACACTCACTGCAGCCCCCACAGCACCACAGAGAGAGAATGATACACCCCTGACTACCTTCTGGAAAATGTATGAAAGCGAGATGTGGAGATGCGATCCAAGCAGTAGCCCATATCCAGTGTCTTGTAATGGAAATGTGACACGCGAGTGTGTGTGTGCGTGGGTGTGTGTGTGGTGAGACAGAGGCGAAGACTGGGTGGGTGACAGAAAAAAAAAAATGAAAGGGGACAAAGAAAAAATCCGAAGAGGGAGAAACACACACAGATGAGAGAAATATGCTGCCCTGGTCCTCAGGAGGGGAGTGGAGCCAGAGACAGATGGAGGGAGAGGTCTAACACTATCCACAACACTTCGAACAGCAGCTGCACTGCAATATTGATCACTTGGTGGCCCCAAGACATGTTGTGGATTAAAAAAAGCCATTATTTTAGCGAGCACATCCATTCACACCTCTGTGTTCACCGTGTAGGACGCACGAGGGCAAAGAAACACCATGTACCCGCCTACTGACAGAATTCTACACTTACTGCATATAAATCAATTATTTTGAATGAATATACCTATATTTAGGTCAATGTAATGTTTGAGAGCGTCAGACATTTCTTGAAATACTGTAAAATTAGATTTATTGCACTAAACCATGCAGATAATCCAACAGGTCCTAATAGTTGAACAAAATGATTGGTCTTGTCAGCAGACCAAAAACAAATATCTTGTCCGCCATCTTTATGGATAAGGTGTGGTTAAGTTGAGCCAACTAAAGCTAAAGATTATAGTTATGGTTAAAAGACACCAACACTGACTGTTGGTAGACGGGGGACTGCCCATTGTTCTGACCGCTCATAATTCAGACACCCCAATAGACTGAACCGAAAACAGGTGTGGACTGGCAATCTGGATATAACATGAGCTTCTGTTTGGGAGAAAGTACTCAAAGAAAACTGCCCTTTACAGCAACGCCCATTTGTTTTCAGGATATCAGGCTGTTTGGTCCGATGGGACATTTTTTGTGCTGTTGTGGCTTCGAAATTATGATCCGTCGGAACAATTGCATAGCAGCGGTGGGAGACAGGATGTAAACTGCTGTCGTTTTATATGCGCAAACATCAGTCCATCTTGACCTCCTGCCTCTGAGGTTTTGTGGCAGTATAATAACTCGCTACTGTGCTTCTGACAGACATGGGATTTAGCTAGTGTCCCGGTCATTACGTGGAGAAACCAACAGAATTCTCAAGATGTTGATTCATCAATATGGATATCTTTAATAAAATATAACAGCCAGGAAAATATCAGCAGGTACATTTTGTTATAGCTTTAGCCAAGACCAGCCACAGCCATCTCACCAAAGCTTTCACTTGATACTGTATGTCTCTCTTGTTTTATCTGTCTAGATGTCTATTTCTCTGTGGCACAAAGTGCAGTAAGTGGCTGACAGTCTCTAGAGGACAGAGATTAAAAAGCCAAAGTGGAGTTACTGCAGTTTGACTTGCTTTTTACCTCCATTTTGTTGTTACTGTAAATTTTACCTGCCATTTTCAAGGGGATTACACATCTCTGTGGCATAATATAAAACATCAGACTTGTGTCATGTGTCGTTACTGTTCTGAGTTTTGGTCGCATCAGTTCATTCAGTTGTTTAAAGCACAGCACACACACACTGGCACTACCATCTCCAACTTTTATACAACTTTTCAAAGGAAAGACAAAAGCAGCCGATCCTCATCACTCACCCCGGTCGGTGTCGTACAGGAAGACGAACTTGTTCCAGTCGTAGTGGTCGAGGAGGGACAGGAGCGCCCCCCGGATGGACGGCCGGAGCTGCAGGGTGAACTGGCTCTCGCCCTCGGTGGGGAAGCTGGGCGTGATGAGGGAGATGTGCAGGGCGCTGCAGAAGGACGTCAACGTGTGCACCGAGCGCTTGTCGTACAGGCCGAAGATGGCGAAGACACCGCGGGAGTACTGGGAGCAAACTGGGGAAAGAAAGAAATAATGAATTACGAAACAAGAAGATAGAGCAAAGGCAGGCCAGCCAGGAAATACAAGCAGGGGGACAACGTTTTCAAAAGTGGGCCCCTCATCCATACCTAACACACCCTCCTGGGAATATAATCCAATCAATCCTATTCCACATGTATTTAGTATCTTGTACTTGTGTCTACTCTTAAGACCTTGTTTTCTTATTTTGAAAAGCAGAGGTAGTCACATATGTGTGTCCTTAGCGTAACTTTGGAGCATTATTTGGCCCCCTTTCTGACAAGATAACTAAACACAGTTGATACCAATAGACGCCTTAGGTCCTCTAGTTTAATATGTTACCCATGTCTTCAGTGTAGCTTTAAAACGTAGCCTGATACAGTGGGTTTATTTGCTTCAGCTCTGCCTGTCATACCTGCTGCTCCTTCACATTTTTTTGTCAAATATTTGTCCACTGTGTCTCTGCTCCTTCATTTTCTTGATCTCTCTGTACCCTGACTTTTCCTTTAGGAGCTCCTGAATTTTTAGTGAGGCACTCTGACTGAGCTAATCAGGCAGCAGTTCTGAAATTTTGAAAAACATATCAAGGAATATGCAAACAATAAAAGTAACCACATAAGGCCAAAGTGGATCCTTGAAGGCCACCTTGCCCCGTCAGTACTCATAAGCACCTCTTATTTCTCTGAAGTCATTTATCTAATCAGTTTTCTCCAGATTCTTTCTGAGCTTAATCCCTGACCGCTCGATGCTTTTACTCTTTCTGGGTTTTCTCTGAAATCTTTTTAACTAATCTGTTTAATCCCCCTTTTTCCTCAAAACCTTTCTATTCTAATCAATTCATGTAACTGTCCTTGAGTCGCCTGACACTTTGTTTGACTCAACATTCGGCATCACAGGTCCAACATCTTACGTGTATGGTGCATATGCAGCGTGTTTTTGCAGAGTCTGTCTTATTGTTGGTTGCCTGGCAGTGTCTTTGGGTGTTGCTGGACAAGACATTTACAAATATCCTGATTCAACTTATTGTGAGCCACCATAAAACCAGATATCATCCTACTCTTAATTTGCAGTGCTTACAGTCATTGGATTGCTTGTTTACATTAAAAGATTATATTACTGGAGTTTTAAATATAATACATCTGTAATATATTTTGATTTTCTTATTGTTCTCTCCTGTTTGAACAAAAAGCTTATTGTTTTTTCATCTATTATTCTCAAATCAAGCATCCACACAGTTTATGCAACAAGGACGCTGTCAAGCTGTGAATCAGTTCACTTATCTTTTATTAAGCACATTTCCCCCGTGATTATTTCATTGTGTAGAAGCAAAACAACAATGCACACAATGAGGGCTCATCTCAGGAGAAACACATACAACTCTTGGCACAGCGCCAGGAAACTAATACCAGCACACAGTAAGCGTTGTTTCCAGTTTTGCTTATGATGAATAGAAGAAGAAATGGGTGCTTAATGTGAGCAGTGATAGCCATTTTAGTCGAAAATGCACCTGAGCAGATGATGAAGACAAAACGAACGTGTGTCGTTTTGAATGACAACTGATGGCTGGGAAATGGCGTGCAAAAATCACCAGAGCAGTGAATGCTTAGTGCCACGACTGGAGACAAAATAACAAACCATTATCCCACTGATTACCACTTTAAATCCTTTCAATGGATCTGCTGAATGCAGTAAACAGAGATCAAAACCGAACGCATCCGTTTCCTCTGATGCTTTCATCTCAAAAGCTGTTCTCTTCCCCCATTTAAACAGCAACAACAGTACCAACACTTCCTAGCGTCGCACTGAATCATTCCCCTCGCTGTTGTGCAGATATATTCTAGAGGACGTCTTCCCCATTAACAAAACACATCGCATTCATGCCGCGCTGCTTCATGACATCAAAACAGCACAAACTGAACCTGCGTGTGTTGTGTTTTATTGGTCAGACTTTGAATTAAATGGAAACTTCACGATTTCACAGAGTCTACACAGCACACACATACACACACATACACACAGTGTGTCCTGCTTAAGGAGATCTCCTCATTATAGAAAGGTTTGGCTGTCTACAAGAGACGCACTGTAATTGCCCACTTTTTACATACTCGCAGAACAACAACAGAAAGGCAAGATAATGAGCATCCTCTGCCAGTTTCCGGGTACGAGAAGAATCAGAGCGAGCGGCAAACTGAAGGAAGAGCTCAAGATGTTCTCGTTGTTAAAGGAAAATGGGGGGTGGGGGAAGCAAACAAGCTTTACTGACAAACCCATTGTTTCCATACAGAGTGCAGCACTCTACTGTAGAGACAGAGAGGAAGAAAGAGAGTCTGCGTCTTTCTGATCTGCCTGCAGCTTCATCCTTCACTGAGACAAACAAGACACCAGTCAGGGAGACAGAGGGAGGAAAGCTTCTTCTATTGTACACACAATTAAGGTACATGGAGGTGCAGGGAACTTCAGTTTCAGGAAAAACACGGCAGTCAAGACCGTACTGTGGTTGCGTTGTTGTAATATCACAGCTAAAAGTTTGCTTTTCCTCGTGTCATGACTCATTAAAAGTTGGTGCCAGCTGGGGAGATGTAGCTACAAATATTTATTTTCATGAATCCAAAGAATTGTACTTGACTAGAAAGAGACATGTGAGTTATCTACCTAATCTCAAATGATGAGCGTGTCGACTTTGAAGTGCAACTGAAATCTGAAAATGAAAACACATCCTTTTCATACTAAAGTCCCCGTCGACTGTAGAATGTGCTTTGCTTCCTGTCACTTCAGATGTTTGACCTTCACAGTGCAGAATGATGTTTGACACGATGGGAAAGACAGAACAGATTTAATTTCAAGAATTTTAATAGGTAACTGAACTTTTTTGTAGAGAAAGAAGTTATGATTCAGAGCATCATACTTGTGGAGGATTCCTGTACTGTCTTGCCTTCAAGCCTCTGAGTGGGCACATGTTTGCTTGACCTGAACAAACCTGTGCTGTCAAGTGAGCTTAAAAGCCGAGGACAGACAACATTTTACACTAGGACTAGACCCTTTAAGGGTTAGTAAACAGTGTGACGTTTTTGGTGGGCGGGGCTTAGCTGGAGTCAAAACAAATCTCCACAGACATTAGCTAGCACTAGATAGCAAGTTCTGTTGGCTTGTTTTAGACAATGGAGGAAGATGATGTGAGTCTCTCTGAATAGGGTGCGTTTGGAAATATCCATTCCGTTTGCCGTAGTGAACTAAACTCGTAACACTGTCACAATGTACCGCACCGTTGGAGTGGCAGAGAGCACTTTGGGCACTCTGTCTGTGGAGACGGAGCAGCAGAGCACTGAGTGGAGTGAATATGTGATTAATTTAACCGTTTGTTAATTCATGTAGAAATATAACACTCCATTTCTTCGACCAGCAGGGCTCTCATTTCAGTGTCGAGCTTCAGACTGAATTTACCAACGCACCATGTCAGGTCACTCACTCTCCGGGACCGGCAGTGTTACTTGAATAAGTAAACACTGACCGACGGGACCAGACTGGCCGACCCGTTTGCTCTCACTCAGTGGATGGATGATGTCACAGGAAGGCAATCTTACAAAGGACGACACTTGAACAGTTTCCTCCAGTTTGTTTTGCTATGGAAGCTAACGTTAGCTAATGTGCTAAAAAGTTAGAGTTACAGAGAAATCCAATATTCCTCTTAATCCCTCCCCAGTTTCTGATGAGGTGGACATGATAACCCTTAATACACATAATGTTATTCATCCCTATAACAGGAAATACTTTTTCCCTAATCTGATATGAAGTGTGCGCTGCACATGTGAGCATTTTTGATGATGGCCTCCGTCCAGTCCTTTGGTCTTATCACATTTAACCATAGTTGTCTTTGTTTTTGTTGACGGGCAGTGGCGGCTAGTTTTGAGCCATGACTCCTTCTATTCTGGCTCCCAATAACACAACAAAACCACATTTTAAGACTCCCTGTGGTGGCGTCGGCCCTAAAAGGGTCTACTGAAGACCAAAGCTTTTTTTTTTATCTTATGGGTGTAGACATTTGCAGGTATGTTTTGAAAGGGATAATTATGATTTTTTGAAGTGGGGTTGTATGGGGTACTTATCCATAGACAGTATATTGCACACAGCAAGCACAACTCCAGTTTGGAGAAGCAGGCTGGAGTCAGACATGGAAACTAAGCAATTTACTGCTGTGGACGTTCAGCAACAAAACCTATATTAGCCACTTAAAAAAAGTCCCACCTACAAAAATCTATATCAATGTAAGTGTACGCTATATTGAGAGTATTTTAATGTGAGACAGTGATTTCCAACAGGAAAATGAGGTATTTACATCGCTCTCTTTAAAGCTAGACTCCATTGAGAAAAACAGTGATTTAACATTGCTGAACACAGCAGCTGCTGGTCTACTGCTGCCTCATTCAGTTAGTTAGTTTGTGTTATTGTGTGACTTTGGTGTTTAAAAAGGTTAATTTGGATTTACCAAACTCGCACAATAACACAAACTAACTAACTTATTGAATCAGCAGTAGACCAGCATCTCCTGTGTTCAGAAAACTAAAATTAATGTTTTTCTCAATGGAGTCTGGTGGTTTTGACAAGAGCATAGATTGGAAAAAGCAACGACTGGAGGCGCCATCATGAAAACTAAAATATAAAACACACATTTCTCCATTTGGCTACTGATGTTTTTTTGTTTTTTTTTTCAAAAAGCAGAGGTTAGAAAAAAACAGCCTCATCATCAGTAAAAAATGTTGGCTTTTTACATTTCTGCAAACCATGGACATGTCACATTTTATGTAGTGGATATGTTCAAACTTTTATTTCCTACAGCGCTGTGTTTTTTTTTAAGGCACAAGACCACTTGGTTATGGTTTGGAAAAGATCATGTTTTGGCTTAAAATACCCTGTTTTGGTGCCCAAATCATGCCTCCAGTGTCTCCCTTAAAAAAACAAGATTTGTTGTTTGTTGGTCTCAGTTGTCTGCAGTGCTGTG